GATACTATATACATGAAACATGTATAAATATGTTTTTCACATAGGGGAATAACATGGTATGTTCACTGTACAGAACATTTTACAATCATTTACAATGGTAGTTATTAAGCCGCATTGTGAGAATGAAAAAGTGTTATCTAACAGTAGATTAAAAAGCAAGACATGGAATTAAATGTTTTTTATCCACAAGTATGTAAAAAACATACATTAAAATAATGGAAGAAATGTATCAAAATGCTAATAATAGTTATATTAATTCCCAAGATATAATTCCTCAAGCCAGCTTTCAAAATCATTAAAATACATACACACACCTTATACACAAGTCAAAGACTATCTACTTTAACTCTACCACTAATGGAAGCATCAGTTTAAATAGACATACTAAATGAGACAGAGAAGGCCAGCAATGCAATGAAGACGACTCACTGCAAAATGAAACACCTGGCACCTTAGGACACTTGGGCTAAGAATAGAAACTCAATACCAGGATTCAAAATTATACAACTCAATCGTATGCATAGGTCATTTACTAATTCTAATTAACTGCTTTACTATTTTCTTCATGAGCAGATGTGCTAATCTTTAGGCGATTGGTTGTTCATTACTGATATCAACTATTAAATGTAATAGAGCCTTGTTTGGGAGTAATTCCTTAAAATATTAAATAAGTAGAAAGACAAATAGGTTAAAATCATAGAAAAAAGGAAGTTCCATACACAATAGTACCATTTTTACTTGGTATCATCAGAGAAGGAGAGATCTACAAGTAAATTTTCCAGAAAACTGAAACTTAACATTTAACAAAGTTTTGAAAATGTTTACTTTTATAGCAATCTCAAAAGACACCAATTTCTTACTTCCTTAAACACAGTACACAGAATAAGAGTTTATGATTAAAGTCATCATTGTGAAGCATCAACTTACTAGGCTGCTCTAAGATACTGTCATTCTTTCAGAAGTTAATGATCATACAAGTGAAGGTCTTTATGTAATGGCCTTAAAACACTATTCTACTAAAGTCCCACCTACTTTTTTAATAGTTCTTTCTCTTGAAGATGACATTTCAGCTGCCCATGTCCCCGACTCCAATGGCTAACACTGTAGATTCTTATCTGTGGACTAATTCCAATTAGTAGTTGCCTAATAAAGGCTAATGGCTTATTATACTTGGTTGCAGTCATTTTGAAGGCTCAGAGATTATGTTCAGGTTTTCTGCTATGTTTCAAATGGCTGAGATCATTAGCAATAAATGTCAGTTGAATTACTGATTCTAACTTATAAATATGCTGGAGTTCCAAAAAAAAAAAAAGTAATAATAATACCTGAATAGTCTGATCAATCACAACGTGATATTCTCCTCAAGGAAAGTTACCCTACTCCTCCTCTCTAATAAGACAAAAATTACCTACATAAGTGAAAAAGATCAGCTGAAAAGAAAAACAGGTGAGAAGGAAAGGGTCAAACAAAATAACCAGGTCAGGCTTTGGACTTTGGGAAATATTTACTGAGAGTGGTTTTCAGAGTACAATGATAGTGGTTTTCAGAGCATTAATTACAGAAATTTGCACCAGAGTTTATACCAAATCTCTAGTAAATACTACTCTAAAAATGAAACTCTTCCAGCAACTATTCCTTGTAGGTAACTCCAAACTGAATTTTCCTATGAAATTTAAGTGTTTTTATTTTATTTTTAACACAAGGTCTCACTCTGTTGCCCAACCTGGAGTGCAGTGGTACAATCACAGCTCACTGCACTCTTGAACTCCCAGGCTTAAGCGATCCTCCTACCTCAGTCTCCCAAGTAGCTGGTACTATAGGTGTGCACTACCATACCCAGGTAATTTTTTTCCTTTTTTTTTTTTTTGGTAGACAGGGTCTGGCTATGTTGTTCAGGCTGGTCTCAAGCAATCCTCCCACCTCAGCTTCCCGAAGTGCTGCTATTACAGGCATGAGCCAACAGGCCCAACTTAAGGTAACTTATAAAGTTACAGCTCTGTGGAAATTGACATGGTATCAGACCTTAAGGAAAAAAATCCAAGTGAGAACAAATCAGCATTAGCACTGTTACTAATTTCCTCTGATCACTGAAGTTCATTAGCTTTCATCACTTCTATGACCATGATAATTGAGAAAAACAAAAATAAAATCCATTGGTTATTTAAATTTTACTCAAGCAAACTCAAAACATGTAACAATATATTTTTCCTCTCCCTTGGATTTTTCTCAGTATGTTTCTACCAAGTACCTCAAATAATTTCGTGTCTGTAAAAGATTGATAAGTCCCAAGAGCCACTACTGAAAAGTTTATAAAACAAAACTTGTAAGTGCAAGGAACATAGGTTATTTCATAGATCAGATGCACACGTGGACTATTAAAGGTCCAGTTACCAAGCTAAACTTATGTAGATACCTTTGCAAAGGCCATTGTAGAACTGTGACCTTCAAACTCACTGTCATTTTCACAATTTCCTACTTCTAAAAATAATAATAAAATGTACTTAACAAATATTTAACAGAATGGCTTTAAAGTAAAGAATTTACAAAGTTTCAATTAAATACCACCTTAAGTTGCTGACTTTTATGACAGGAGATATCTGGCAATTCTGTGAATGGACCCAGAACTGTCCAAAAAATTAGTTAAGAGGAGAAAATTGCCTCAAATACTGATTCCAAATGCTGGTCAACTCGGGTTTTCCTCCAACTCTTATAAGCCTGCCTATTCTTGGACGATGGCTCTTGCCTCACCGTCAACCTTCTACATTCCTCTTTTCTCCCCAGTTTGTCCAATTCCATTGCAATAACGACCTCTACACTCCCAATGTCCCCTTTTCCTCCTTCCATCATACTTCTCAACACTCACTTCTATTCCTCAACATTTCTACTTGCATTGTTAGAACAAAAAAAAAACACACACTGCCCAAAGAACGGACATTTTTTTTAATGTGACTGGTCTGATAAATATTATTACTGGTAGGCTTGAGGGAAAATTACAAAAACAACACTTAGAAAATGATAGCCGCCTAGCAACTTTAAGTATACACATATTTGAACTAACTAGTGATACATCTACCACCTTCCAGCTGAGATCACCAAATTGCATGGTCAGAACTATCATTTTAATCACGCTGACACACTTTTAAAACATCTGAAAAACTCCTATAGGTATACTTAGGTTACAGCTTAGAATATGTAATATATATTGAATTCCAGGATACTAAAAAAGAAAAAAAAAAAGGATATATAATATATAAAGGTAAATATATAACAAACATTAAACATAAAAATATAAAACTCAAGTGATGAAACATTATTTAAATCTTGTTTTACATGTACTTTCTGTGCAAAGCTTACCCAGCACAATAAACTTTACTGCAAAAATAACACTGTTACTTGTGATATTTTCACAAGATTATACGACCCAAAAAATCAGTACAAACAAAAAAAATCTGCTTTTTATCTCAGTATGCATACATGAGTCTTGACAAACAGGCATGTAACACTAAATAAACATGTAGTTAAAAAATCTTTACTAACTGCCAATATTGTGGTGGTACCCCATAAAACAACACTTTCTCCCATTCATTTAAGAAATAATAACTAAACTAAAATATGGAAATATCTGGAATGATACACAGCAACCACAAAGAGTGGTTACAGGCAGATTTAAAATGAGGAAGGGAACTTTGTGGTACCGTGAAACAAGCATTGTGTTACTCTACACTATATACCTCTCTGTATTATGTATTAAAAAAAAGAAAACTTTTGTAGTTTTTAAAAAAAACTATAAATGAATTAACTAGTTACCTGATTCGTTTTGTAATTAACTCCCCACTCCCCATTTAGTACTGCAACTACTAAATAAAATCCAAACACTACTTAAGAATACGAAAAATCAAAGTTATATTGCAAATTCATTTCTGAGACATTAGGGAAGTGGAGAGAAAAATTGATTTCAAACTCACTTAAGAAAAACAAAGCTCAAACTCTGATACCAAAGTTTATGAGTTTGCTCTTTATTAAAAAGGTGACCTGAGGCCAGGCGCGGTGGCTCACGCCAGTAATCCCAGCACTTTGGGAGACCGACGAAGGTGGATCACTTCAGGTCAGAAGCTTGACACCAGCCTGGCCAACATGATAAAACCCCGTCTCTACTAAAAATACAAAAATTAGCCAGGCATGGTGAAGCGCGCCTGTAATCCCAGGTACTGGGATGCTGAGGCAGAAGAATCGCTTGAACCCGGGAGTCAGAGGCTGCAGTGAGCCGAGTTCATGCCACTGCACTCCAGCCTAGGCGACAAGGACAAGACTTTGTTTCCAAAAAAAAAAAAAAATTCACATGAAATAGTCTCTTACCTTAAATATATAACCTAAAACAACCATCCCTAAACCTCAAAGATAGCAACCTCAGTAACACAGTAGTAATTAAAACCCTACCGATAACTGAGTTAACAGGCACGCACAAAATGATTAAAAGCGAGATTTTGTTCTGACCTCACGTGCTGTCAGAGACATAACGAGCCCTCCAAAATACTGCCAAAAAGTTACTGAAAATACGAAGTCAGGGTGAGGAGTAAATGACACCTAGAGAAAACAGATGGGAGGTGTTCTGTTTCAGGAGATGGGAGACAGGTACTGCAGCAGAAAACGCGACAGAATAGTTAACAGGTCTGGAATACTTTAGAAAATGGCAACGAGGGGAAAAACTAGCAAGAACGTTTCAAAGTAAGAGGAACGGCATCCAATGGAATCATCAGGTCTGCGCGAGCACGGCTCCGGACTTCCAGTGAGTGGGACAGGGTGGAACTACCACTGCGTGGGGAGGAACCAGCTGAGGGGTGCATACGCTTCTGCAGGTGGCTGAGCGCCCGCAGGGGGATGGGGAAGGCAGTGTTGCCTCAACGGGGTCACTGTAGTCCCTTCAAGACTATGGGAAGCTGATGCAGCACGTATCCCGGCACCAAGAGGCACTCGCCCCGGGCCCCTCCCTAACGACTTGCCTTGTAGAAAGAGTTGCGGGTCCCAGGCCCCCGGAACCCAAGGCTCCGCCATCCAGGACAACTGCTCTGCCAACGAGGTCCCGCGAGAATCGAGAGATCTCGCGATACAAACCCACTCGCATCTCGCGAGCTTCCTCTAATACCAACATGGCGGTACAGAAAAATCAGTATTTCGGAACTTAAAAAGCGATTCACTGACGGAGTAGAGAACATTTAAAACACAGAGAAAGTAGGAAGTCTTTTCCGCTTTATGTCTCCTCCTTTCCCCTAGCACAGGAGAAAAGCGGCAATCTTAAAAACCTCCGATTACCACGGTTATACTACACAAACAGCGCATCACGCTACCTCAGCCAGTCTCCCTGTCACGTGGAAACATTTTCGGCGTGCCAGTCACGTGGGCCGCTACTGAGCGAGCGCGCGCCCGACGCCCTCCCTAGAGCCCTCCCCGCCCCCCTTTCTCCCGCGCACACGTGCGCGCGCACCCCCGCCCCACGTGGGGGCTTCGCCGTAGCAGCCGACGCCGCCGTCGCCTCCAGCCCACCCCCTCCCGGTACTTGACTCCAAATCCAGGTCCCAAGCCGATCGTTTGCCACCCGCATTACCTCCCCCTTCATTCTCCCTCCCCCATGTCTGGCCCTCACCACGTGCCCTGAGCTCCTGCTCACCTTTCGCGCGGGGTCGAACGCCACGGGCCACTTGGGGAGGCGCCACCGCCGTGGCCGCTCTCCGCCCCCGCCACGGCACTTGCTCCGGTGGCCGCCGCTGCAAGAAGCTCGACAGCGGCGCCGCGGCGCTTCCAGGTGGGTCCCCGCCTCCCGCTCCTGCCACTTCCCGCAGCACCAGCGGCTCCTTCCGGTCCCCTCCTTTCTCCTCCTCGTTGGGACGGGCGGGCGGCGGCGGCGGCTGTTGCTGTTGTTGCTGCTCCAGGCGCGCTCACTACACCGCCTGCTGGTAACCGCGGCCCGTGCAGCGCCCGCGGGTCGGGGGCCGCCGGTGCCCTCCCCGGACCGCCCCTGCCCCTGAGCGAAGGTTGATCAACCGAGGGCGGGTTGCAGTCCATCCCTTGCAACCGTCCAACCTGCTCTAGCAGAGGAAACTCGTCCCCGTACCTCCGCCGTTGGAAATCGGCTTCATCCTGCCCTTTGTGGCCTCCTGAGAGATTTGTAAACCCCACCTCCCATAGCACTGTGGTCTCAAACCAGGAGAACATCCATGTATGTGTATTTATGATGGTGCTTCTGCCTCCTCTCGCTCACCTCTGGCTTTCTGGCTGGTACCACAGCACGCAGGCTCGAACCACTTCAGGCCTTTGCGCTTGCTGATCTCTCTGGCAGAACACTTCCTTCAGATTTTTTTTAACTCGTCGATGTTCGATGCGTTATTTCAGGTCCCTTTTCAGAGGGCTGCCCAGACCACTGTATCCAAAAAAGTACAGCTGCACCATTGCTTTAACTCTTTACCTTCCAGACCTTATTTGTCAGTGTCCTCGCCACCAAGAAGGTAAGATTTTTAAAGACAGGGACTTAGTAAACTATTTTGCTCATTGCTGTATCCCCAGAATTGTGTCTGGCACAAAGCAGTGCTCAGTAAGTATCAAAACAGATCTACCAACTATATTGAGCATGTAGGAAAATAAAGTCCAACACATTAATGAAGATAAACAATGTCATCATTTATGAGCTTTGGAAAAACTGAGCTAAACCTCCTTCCCTGGCTATAAAGATTATCTTCGAAAAATATAAAATCCAGTGGTAGAAGCCGTTAACTGGGGCTCTTCTTTGACGTTGTCAAGTACTGCTTCATTACTTTTGTTTTCCTTTGGAACATGTTTTTTTCAAGCAAGTGGATACATGTTGTGCCTTCTTTTATGTTGGTAATAAAAGTTTTTAAATGGTGTTCTGTATTTTAGCTTTGAGTTCAAGTCAAAGTAACATCCACTTCAAAAGGGTTACGTGTTTTTATATTAATACATCAATTATTTGTCGAACATACTGGTGTTTCTGGGTGGCAGTATGTCAAAAATAAAAATAAAAAGAAGGGCCGGGCACAGTGGCTCACACCTGTAATCCCGCCACTTTGGGAGGCTGAGGCGAGCGGATCACCTGGGGTCGAAAGTTCAAGACCAGCCTGGCCAACATGGCAAAACCTCGTCTCTACTAAAAATACAAAAATTACCCAGGTGTGGTGGCACATGCCTGTAATCCCAGCTACTTGGGAGGCTGAGGCAGGAGAATTGCTTGAACCCACGAGGTAGAGGTTGCAGTGAGCTGAAATCACGCCACTGCACTCCAGCCTGGGTGACAGAGCAAGACTCTGTCTCAAAAATAAAAAACGAAAGATAAAATACACTAGTGACCTATACTAAGACTAGAGATACAAAAATAAACACGTTTCTCTACCTTGCTCTTTGTACTTACAGAGCCCAATTCTATTATAATAACCATACTTGCCATGTTTTTGGTTCCTGTGTGCCAGGCCAAATGCTGTGTACTTTTCTATGTTACCCTATTTTAGGCTTCTGACAGTCCTATGAGATATATACTATTTGTGGTAGGCCTTGCAATGCACTTTTCAGACCCAACTTCAGGAATAAAGAACTGAGCTGCTGCTGCCAAGAGTCTAAGAGTCATACCCACAGCCAGCCATCGGTTGTCAGCCTCTTTCATGCCAGTGTTATTACATTGTCATAATGTTCCCAGGAAGGCCACATCCAGTGACTGATCAGTGCAGGGATAAAAGGCCCAGCCCTCTCACCTCCCTTTGGTACAATTCTGATGGGTTTTCTCATGTCCTGCAGAACAACTTGTAGGATCAGCTGAGGCATTACATTGAGACTTCATTGAAGCTCAACTTCTTCTGCCCATTTCAGTTTTTCTTTCCTCCGCAAGTGATGATCCCAAGAGCATTCCCTAATAAATCTCTCTTACTAATCATGTAAGAGTGCTTCCTGGGAACCCAACCTGTGACACTATTTGTATTTTTTTATTGGTAAAACAAGTAACTTGCCCATTTGAACTGCAGAAAGTTCTATACAGATACAATAAAACAAGTAACTTGCCCATTTGAGCTGCAGATACAAAAATAAAGTATTGCGAGAGGAGGAGGGCTTCTGGGACAGGCTTTTTACAAGAATTGGCATTTAAGTTACAGGATGACTTTTCTAAGTGGAGAAAAAAAGATAATTCTTAGCTGGAACTGCACGAATGAGTATGTGAATGGGAGAGAACTACAAGTAACCCCAAATGGCTGGACTGTAGGTCTTTGGGGTAATCACTACAAGATGAGAAAGCAGTTCATGGATGGTAAAGAGGGTAGTCAAGAAAAAACTCTAGGCCTAAGAATAGCTCTTAGCCAAGTGGTAAGGGATAGGAGCCTGAGATCCTCAATTAAGAGTGGGAAAGAGGAGCTTCATTGCTCTAGGAAAAGGGAACCACTGCCAAACTTACTGGCAAATACCACTCCCTAATCATGATATATATATATTCTTACGTGACCTTTGTTATTTTTGTTTGTTTTTTTGAGACAGGATCTTGCTCTGTCACCCAAGCTGGTGTGCATTGGCACGGTCTAGGCTCACTGCAGCCTCCCATGTCCCATGTCCTGTGTAGCTGAGATACACACCACCATGCCCAGTTAATTTTTGTATTTTTTTTTTTTGAGATGGGATTTTGCCATGTTGCCCAGGCTGGTCCCAAAACTCTTGTCCTCAAACTGTCCACCCACCTCAGCCTCCCAGACTGCTGGGATTACAGGCATGAGCCACTGCTCCCCACCCAACAATCTAGATGTTGGCATGGATGTGGTGAAAAGGGAACACTTTTACACTGCTGGTGGAAATGTAAAGTAGTACAACCACTATGGAAAAGAGTATGGAGATACTTTTAGTTTCTTAAGGAACTAAAAGAACTACAATTCGAGCCAGCAATCCCACTACTGGGTACCTACCCAAAGAAAAAGAAATCATTATATGAAAAAGACACATGCACATGCATGTTTATAGCAGCACAATTCGCAATTGCAAAGATATGGAACCAAACTAAGTGCCTATCGACCAACAAACAGATAAAGAAAAGTATACGGCCTCAGTGGCTCACACCAGTAATCCCAGCACTTTGGGAGGCTGAGGTGCGCAGATCACCTGAGGTCAGGAGTTTGAGACCAGCCTGGCCAACATGGAGAAACCCCATCTCTACTAAAAATACAGAAATTAGCTGGGCATGGTGGTGGGCAACTGTAATCCCAGCTACTCAGCAGCTAAGGCAGGAGAATCACTTGAACCCAGGAGGTAGAGATTGCAGCGAGCCAAAATTGTGCCATTGCACTCCAGCCTGGGCAACAAGAGTGAAACTCTGTCTCAAAAAAAAAAAGAAAGAAAAAATGTGGTATATATACACCATGGAATACTACTCAGCCATAAAAAGGAATGAAAAAATGTCTTTTGTAGAAACTTGGATGGAGCTGGTATTCTATGTGAAGTAACACAGGAATGGAAAACCAAATGTCATATATTCTCACTTATAGGTAGAAGCTAAGCTATGAGGATGCAATAGCATAATGATGATATAATGGGCTTTGGGGGCTGGGATGTAAGTTTGGGAGGGGCTGAGGGATAAAAGACTAAATATCAGGTAAAATGTACACTGCTCGGGTTAAAAGAACACAAAAATCTCAGAAAAAAACAAAACCACAAACCACCTGTACTCCCAAAACTACTGAAATTTAAATACAAAAAATTATCTTGCTTCTCTTCTCTTCATAGATTCATATTAAATATTTTTGACAGGACTCTTACATAGATAAATGTTGCATCCTCAGAAATTGCACATTTTGGGGCTGGTGCAGTGGCTCACGCCTGTAATCCCAACACTTTGGGAGGCTGAGGCAGGCAGATCACTTGAGGTCAGGAGTTTGCGGCCAGCCTAACCAACATGGCAAAACCCTGTCTCTACTAAAAATACAAAAATTAGCCGGGCATGGTGGTGCACACCGATAGTCCCAGCTACCTGGGAGGCTGATGCAGGAGAATCGCCTGAAACTGAGAGGCAGCATTTGCAGAGAGCCAAGATCACGCCACTGTCCTCCAGCCTGTGCAACAGAGACTCCATCTCAAAAAAAAAAAAAGAAATTACACATTTCGAAAAGGAGAGAATGATGAATTACATCACTGAGTGCCAATTATGTTGTATATATCATATATAACAATACACATAATTACCATAATCCTATGATTGAGCGTGGCAGGCATGAAGATTGCTATTCAGACCCCTCTTCTAGACGGCACTTGCTGCGCAGCTGAGAGGACTAGGGTTGGGTGACAACCTCTGTTAGCTCCATCAGGGTCAAGCTGAGTTTACTCTTTTCCAGGTAGCCACTAG